CTATCTGCTGTGCTGAAGTGGGAATCCGAAGAAAGACAAAAGAGGGTTCTGCAAAAACTATTATTGCTGAAGGAATTCTGGAAATTAAAAATAAATTTGAAGCTTTGGGAAATATTGCTGAAGAAAGGGGAAATAGTTGAAGAAAATTTACGTCCAGACATCCTTGTCCTGGAAAAGGATGCAATATAGGAAGCTAGGCAGGAAGCTACATTATTAAATGATGTAGAATCTAGAGCAAATGAAGATAACTCCTCTACAGTTAAAAAGAAAGGTGTGAAACAATTGAAAATTTTGGGACCAATCAGCTTGAAGACCAGGAACATAAAAATTGATGGAGATGTTAAGGAGAAAGTGGGGAATTCTTCCCCACTTATCCATAAATGAATTCCATTTTAATTTGGAATTGTAGAAGAGCCAAGAAAAGAAAGTCTTCTCTCTACCTGAAAGAGGTGGTAAAAGATCACAATGTTCTTTTTGTTGGGCTGTTGGAGACAAAAATGGTCTCTATTGAGCATAAAGATGTGGAGTCATTGATTGGCACTGGTTGTAATTTTAGTTATGTACCGTTAGCTGGACTATCAGGAGGCATACTTGTACTTTGGAGGAGCAACCTTGCAAATTTCAGCATGATAGAGTCTTCTTCTCAATTCATTATTGGTGATTTGGATATACTTAACAAGGGGAAATGGAGGATAGCTACAATTTATGGTAGCAAAGATGTTTATAATAGAAGACTACTTTGTAATGGGTTGGAACCTCATATCACCAATGATTGTATTATGGTGATCGGTGGAGACTTCAATTGCCTATTGGATAAAGAAGACAAGAAGGGTGGTAGGAGATTTTCATTTTCTTTCGGACCTAAAGAAATGAAATATTTCATGACATCTAATGATATTTATGAGCTAGGATTCAGTGGTCATAGGCTAACCTGGAGTAACAACAAGAAAGGTTCAGATCAAATAATGGAAAGACTAGATCGAATGATGGTCAATTCAATTTCTGTGAACTATAATCAGCAAATGGTGGTAAAGCATCTTCCCAGAATTGTGTCGGATCATTGTCCCATCCTCCTTAACACTTTAAAATCTTCATCTAAAGTTAAAAAATCTATCAAATTTGAGGATGTTTGGGCATCATACCCGGCATCATATGCAGTGGTGGAGAAAGCATGAAACAAAAAAGATTCTGGATCAGCAGCTGAAATTCTTAATTTCAAGTTGAAAAGATCTCTTAAATCCTTATTCTTTTGGAGTAAGGCCAAGCTCAAAGATTTGAATCAATTGAAAGACTTGCTCAAAGAAGAAATCCTAATGCTTCAAACTAAGGAAGTTGAAGTTGGAATGCTATCACTGGATGATTATTATTTGTTGAAATTCAAAATTAATGAGCTCAATTCTACTTTGGCTCGGTTAAGCACGTGGTGGAGACAATGATCCAAAGTAAAGTGGATTGGATAAGGAGACCAAAATTCTAAATTTTTTCATTTAGTTTCTAGTGCTTGAAAGAATACAAATCTCATCTCTTGCATTAAGGATGGTAATGGGATTATGGTGGAGAAGCAAAACCAATTTGAAGATGTATTGTTACAATTCTTCAAAGACAAATGGTGTGAGAGGATATGCTTGCTTGAGGGCTGGCCGAATAACCATACTCAGCTAGAAGAGGAGGACAAAACACATTTAAACAACAATTTCAATATAGAAGAAGTAGAAAAGGCTATAAGAGAAACCACGGGGTTCACTTCACCAGGTGAGGATGGAATTTCTTATTCCCTTCTTAAAAGCTATTGGTCTATCATCAAACTGGATTTCTGGAAAGCTTTGAAAATGTTCTTTGAAACAGCTAAAATAAATGTAGAATGGAAGAGAACTATGATTGTCCTTATTCCCAAGATCAATAATCCGAAATATGCTTATAATTATATGCCTATTAGCCTTTGTAATATGGTGTACAAGATTGCTTCCAAGGTTCTTCTCAATAGATTAAATGGTATCATTTCTAAACTAATCTCCCTAGAACAAGAAGCTTTTGTTAAAGGAAGATCTCTTCAAGATCATGTGTTGATTGCACAAGAACTTTTCCACAAATTTAGATACTCTAAAGCTTCCAAAGGTCTAGTGTCTATCAAATTAGACATGGAACATGCCTATGATTCAATGGGGTGGCCAACTCTTCAGAAAGTTCTATCTTATTTTGGATTTCAAGATTTCTTCTCTAAGCTAATCTTGGAATGTGTTCAAAATCCTGCTTTCTCCATTTTGATCAATGGAATCCCTTCCAGTTGGATTAATGCAAGGTGCGGGTTCAGACAAGGGTGCCCCTTGTCTCCTTACCTCTTTATTCTGTGTTCTCAGCTCCTTTCTAATGCCATAATGGAGAAGGAAGGAATAGGTGTTCGGGTAAGCCATAACAGCCTAAGGATCTTGCATTTGCTATATGCAGATGATATTGAAAGTTCGTTAGGGATGTTAAGCCCTATAAAACT